ATTTCTCCCTTCCTCTTTGTCTTTTTCTCTCTCTTTATCTCCATCTCTCCCTCACTCACTCGTGCTGAGACAATTACACACTGATACACAGACACACAGACGCACAGACACACACACACACAAGTACACTTTCATATACAGAAGCTCACATATAGACATATACAATTACACATCCATACACATAATGCACGCACACACACAGACACACCCACACAAGTGTGCTACCTACCTTATGAGTGATTTCACGTGGAGACCTAATATGCCTCATTATCTTCCCTACTTTACCTTAATATTTGTTGATGCAAAACGAGCCACAATGCAATTTGCATACATTTGTTCCCATCCCCTTGAAAAGCTGTAATAAGAAAGTGCTTTTCAGAAGGCTGAGAGAGAGAGAGAGATTCACTTGTCACAGAGACACCGCACCTTCATCAAGGGCTGTGTATGTGTGTGTGTGTGTGTGTGTGCATGTGTTTCAAATCAAATCAAATCAAATTGTGTTTGTCACATGCTTCGTAAACAACAGGTGTAGACTAACATTTAAATGCTTACATACGGGCCCTTCCCTACAATGCAGAGAGAAAATTGAGAAATAATAGAAAAGTAATAACACATAATAATAAATACACAATGAGTAACGATAACTTGGCTCTATGCATGGGGTTCCAGTGCCGAGTCGATGTGCAGGAGTAAGAGGTAATTGAGGTAGATTGGCGTGGCGATTAAGAAAGTGACTAGGCAACAGGATAGATCATAAACGTTAGCAGCAGAGTATGTGATGAGTCAAAAAATGTTTGTGGTCAGCTTGTCCTTCTGTGCGAGAAATAAATATTCCAAACATACTCAGGGACAGTTGTGGGATGCGATTGATCCCATATTAATATAACCACTCGCATCAAAAAAACTTTTAAAAGCAATTAGGCTGATGCAACAGATCAGAACGTTTAGCTTAAAATGTTGATAAACTATTAGGCTATTTCTTCACATTATAAGTGCAGCAATGCGCACATGGCAGTAGGCTATATGTGCGAATGTTCCAAAATGCAATGGACACTGTTCTCAAAAGTGACAGCAAATGTGATTATGCATGTAATGCTTTATTATAGAGGTGCATTTTTATGGTGAAAATTATCTTCCCCAAACTCACCTATGTATGCCAGTTAGTCTCTACACTGGTTGTAAAGCGGATTAATGTACTTAATTTTAAGAAGTTATTTGGTCACTTTAGTTGTGATACAAACCTTGTCAAACCATATAGGCCTATTGGCTAGGCTACATGAGGTGTGCGACTATGATTTGAAAAAGTCGCATACACTGTACTGCACACGCTGGGCATCATTAACAAGTGATAATACATCATTAAATTAGTTTTGATTTAGAATGGACCATTACCATGCACCTGTCTCGGGAAAAGGGCAGGAGAAAAAAATACATGTCAACTATACACTTAAATAGTGAATGGACAAGGATTTTCCCGTGGTTGATTTTCATGGTATCCAGGTAGGCTATACTCCTGTTGTAAAGCGAAGCAATGTGCTTAATATTAGGAAAGTTGAAAAATACATATAGTAGGCCTAGCCTATAGAAAGCTGATGGGGTCCTCCTATTTTTAATAGAGGCCATCAAACTATGTTTTCTCACGCAATGGCACAGCCTATAAAGATGTTGCGCAACATGAGCTCATGGGCTCTCATTAAGCGCTTGATTTGATTTCCCAATACATTTGCATTGATGTCAGAGTGATTAGAGGGACAATAGAATGCTGAGTACCAGGCAGTTAGCATGTTTGGTAGGCTACCAATGCCCATCAGCATCATCAGAGCTTGGAGAAGCCTAGTTACCATGCCTAAACGTTCACATGGAATTTGATTGCAGTTATGACTCATGACCGCCGGTGTGGTGGTAATATGGTCCCCATAACAGCCCTAGTCCCAGGGTCCTTAGCTTAGTTATAAGCTTGGAGGGCACTATGATGTTGAACGGTGAGCTGTAGTCAATGTACAGCATTCTCACATAGGTGTTCCTGTTGTCCAGGTGGGAGATGGAAATGTGGAGTGCAATAGATATTGCGTCTTCTGTGGATTTGTTTGGGTGGAGCACAAATTGGAGTGGGTCCAGGGTGTCTGGGATTATGGTGTTAATGTGAGCCATGACCAGCCTTTCAAAGCATTTCATGGCTACAGATGTGAATTCTACGGGGTGATAGTAATTTAGACAGGTTACCTTGGTGTTCTTGGGCACAGGGACTATGGTGTTCTGCTGGAAACAGGTAGGTATTACAGACTGGGTCAGGGAGAGGTTGAAAATGTCAGTGAAGACACTTGCCAGCTGGTCAGCGCATGCTCTGAGTAGATGTTCTGGTAATCTGTCTGGCCCTGCGGTGTTGTGAATGTTAACCTGTTTAAAGGTGCGTGATCACACAGTTGTCCGAAAGAGCTGGTGCTCTCATGCATGGTTCAGTGTTGCTTGCCTCGAAGTGAGCATAAAAGGCATTTAGCTTGTCTGGTAGGCTTTCGTCACTGGGCAGCTCACGGCTGGGTTTCCCTTTGTAATCTGTGATAGTTTGCAAGCCCTGCCACATCCGACAAGTGTAGTAGGATTCAATCTTAGCTGGCGTAGTAGGGTTCAATCTTAGTTCTGTATTGATGCTTTGCCAGTTTGATGGCTCGCCGGAGGTTGTAGCAGGATTTCTTATAGGTGTCCGGATTAGTGTTCCCCTTCCTTGAAAGCGGCAGCTCTAGCCTTTAGCTCAGTGCCTGTAATCCATGGCTTCTGGTTGGGATATGTACGTGCGGTCACTGTGGGGACGACCTCGTCGATGCACTTATTAATGAAGCTGGTTCATGATATGGTAAACTCCTCAATGCCATCGGATGAGTCTCGGAACATATTCCAGTCTCTGCTATCAACACAGTCCTGTAACTTAGCATCTGCTTTATTGGACCACTTCCGTATTGAGCGCGTCACTGGTACTTCCTTTTTGAGTTTTTGCTTGTAAGCAGGAATCAGCAGGATAGAGTTATGGTTCGATTTGCCAAATGGAGTGCGAGGGAGAGCTTTATATGCATTTCTGTGTGTGGAGTAAAGGTTATCTAGGGTTTTTTCTTCTCTAGTTCCACAGATGACATGCTAGTAGAAATTAGGTAAGACAGATTTCACTTTACCTGTATTAAAATCACCGTCCTCTGGATGAGCATTTTCTTGTTTGCTTATGGCCCTATACTGCTTGTTGAGTGCAGTCTTCGTGCCATCATCGGTTTGTTGTGGTAAATAGACAGCTACGAAAAATATAGATGAAAATTTGGTAAATAGTATGGTCTACAGCTGATCATGAGATATTCTAACTCAGGTGAGCAGAACCTCTATACTTCCTTAATATTAGAGAATGCGCACCAACTGTTGTTAATAAAAAGACACACCTTCCCCCCTTGAGTTTACCCGAGGCTGTCGTTCGATCCTGCCAAAGCATAGTAAAATCAGCTAGATGTACAGTATGTTATCTATGTCCTTGTTCAGCCATGACTCCGAGAAACAGGATATTACAGTTCTTCAGGTCCCGTTGATAGGATAGTCTCGAACGGAGCTCGTCCAGTTTGTTCTGCAGTGATTGTACGTTCGCCAATAGAACGGAGGGTAGATGCAGATTATTTATTCACTGATGTAATTTCGTCAGGGTACGTCAGACTCTCTTACGCCGTCTCTTCATTTTCCAAGTCTCTGGGATTAGTGCCTGGTCCGGGGTGAGCAGTATGTCCTGTGCCGCCGACTCGTTGAAGTAGAAATCTTCATCCAAATCGAGGTTAGTGATCGCTGTTCTGATGTCCAGAAGCTCTTTTCGGTCATAGGAAACAATAGTGGAAACATTATGTACCAACAAAAAAAAAGTTATGCGCAAAAGAACACGCAAAATAGCCAAATTGGTCAGGAGCCTGTAAAACGGCAGCTAGTTTTGTGTGTGTGCATTCGTGCAGGTGTCTGTGTGTTTGCATGAGTATGATAGGGTAGATGGGACAAAAATCCCTGCTTCACAATTGAATTAACGGGCAGTGGTATCTCTCAAACTAGTGCAATCTCTTATAAAATCCTCTTAAATTGCCGAAGGACCCAACCTGTTGAATGAGATTTACAAACCTGTCTGACTACCAAGGTGTCAAAAATGTAAGTGGATACTATACATAGCCTACGTCTTCAAGCTGCCAAGTGACATTTTTATTATAACACTGTCCTTCTTCCTCCCATTCAAAGTGTAACAATTATTTGGCGGGCCTGTGTTGCTAAACATGCAAACTGCAAGCTGGCTCATGGAAATTAAAAGGACAACTGGTCTGCCAGGGGGATTATTTCAGACAATGAATACATTTTACATTTTAGTAATTTAGCAGATGCTCTTATCCAGAGCGACTTACAGTTAGTGAGTGCATACATTTTTCATTTGGCCCCCCGTGGGAATACTAATCAAAGAATTATAGCTGGGGGGATATTTATATTTGAGACACCCCTAATCCTACTGCGTCAAACACATATGGCAAAGGCTGATTATGTCATAGCTATGCCGTTGTTAAATGTAATAGCAGGGAAATAATTCTGAATAACACCTGGATTACTGTGCAATGCAATATATGTAAAATGCTATGCTTTTCTTGTTTGTGGAATCACATAACTCTTTCAATTGTTTCCCCAGCCATTCCCTGGGGTAATGATGGACCAGCATTCCCATTGCAGTTATTAGACCATACAATTTACACAATAGGGACATAATTGATTTGTTTTATAATTGGATGTCTATAGTAGACATTTTAGTGTAATCTGTGAGAATATTGGTCTATGATTGTGATTCAATTAGAGATCAGGCGATTGCCAGGTTGCAGGACCCAGATCTGGCCCGTGGCAAAGGGGTTTGGTTTAATACTGATCATTTACACAATCAGGACCTACAGAGAATCAGAGATAGCCCACAGCCATGCTTGGCATTTGCCTTGATTAGATAACATGGTGACTCAATGGCGTGAGATGATGTTCACTGGCAGTTCTCTGCTTGGAGCAGAGCTAAATCAGCTAATTCAGTGCAATTACAGAGTGCCATGTGCTTCTAATATTTTATTATCTTACTTAGTGATGGCAATACCTCTTCCCTTTCAATAAGAATTTGATCACAATTGACTTACACTCGTGTTAACATTGCCGCTAGCTATTGTGAACAGTAACTGACATTTTAGACATTAGATGAGTATGGCATTGATGACATTATGTCAACAGGGAAGATGCTTGCTATAGAGTTATGGTTCTTGCCCCCAGTGCGGTTTGTTGCTGTTGCATAAATGGTTGTCATAATACCATTGATGAATATCTAAAGGCATAAGCATTTACCTATGCTGTTTTCCTTGTAGGGAGTTTGCGCGTTGGAAGGTGAGGAACACAGCCATCGAGAGGAGGGACCTGATCCGGAACCCCGTGCCGCTTATGCCAGACTTCCAGCGCAGTGTCCGGTTGCTAGGGCGACGACCCTCCACTCAGCAGTTCATTGACACCATCATCAAGAAATATGGAACCCACATCCTCATATCCGCCACCTTGGGAGGTGAGAAAGTATATATCTGCTTCTACTTTACTAAGACATCCTTGGTGAGCCACAACAGTGGCTTGTGGGCTCCCGGGCTGCCAGGTGATGACTCCAAATTGCTTCCGCATGACCTTATTTAGGCAAAGTTCTGTTAATGTCCATGCCACTTTTCTGATGGCTTATTAATGGGGAATTGATGGGGAAATAATGGGTAATACATGTACATGTAGATGAGATATCAATGAGTAAATTGGTGATTTTGACTGTCAAATGAGCTTATGTCTGGCTTGCCATAATATAATGGCAAACCCCCTCTAAAAGCTGCACTTCCTCTCATGGTTCTGTCCTGTTAAGATAACATTTGACTTAGTTTAATCTGATTAAACATTGGTATATCAACCTGTCACTGAGGAGCTCATCCTATAGAAACCTAGCTTTTCTGTATAAATCTAGGACTTCACTTGAATGTCAAACAGTCTGTTTAATAATTCAGTTAAGGCAAGGGTGGGTGATTTCATAGGGAGAGGTTTAGAGTTGCAATATAAAGTATAAGCCTGCAAGGTGATTCACACTAACACACTAATTATGGAATTCTGAAATGTGATATTGAAGCGAAATATGATGCTAAGGTAAAGTATTAATATGTTCAAAATAAATCCATTCCCAAGCAGGATGATTCACTGCTGCCACAAATGCAGAGGTGATTAAAGGTTGATGATAGATGAGGGGAATATTGACACACAGAACTGATTGCAATATTGCAGGCTATCGTTATTTTTCTCTGTTTGCTGTTTTCTTTCTCTCTCTTACTCTTTCTTCTCACTCTTACTCTTTCTTTATTTTTCTCTCTGTCACATACTCTCTCTTTTATCACCAGATCATATTTAACCTTGAAGGCATTTCAGAGCGTTATGGCCTAGAAGTCACTCATCTCAATCTATGGGTTGCACATTAAAGAACACCATTATGTGAGTCGATAAACCCAGAAACCAGGACTTTACTGAAAGCTGGCCTGCAGGCCCACAGCTATTACATCTAAAGTGATAAAGGAGTACAGAAAAGACGATGTGCTCTTCGCCAGATTCACTTTATAAGCTAAAAGGAGCGTGTATGTGTGTGTGTGTGTGTGTCCGTGCGTGTATGCGGATGTATCATGTGTATGTGTGTTTGCACATCTGTCTTTTACTCTGCATATGTTTTGATTCATACAGCTGAAGTCGGAAGTTTACATACACTTAGGTTGGAGTCATTAAAACTTGTTTTTCAACCACTCCACAAATGTCTTGTTAACAAACTATAGTTTTGGCAAGTCGGTTAGGACATCTACTTTGTGCATGACACAAGTAATTTTTCCAACAATTGTTTACAGACAGATTATTTCACTTATAATTCACTGTATCACAATTTCAGTGTGTCAGAAGTTTACATACACTAAGTTGACTGTGCCTTTAAACAGCTTGGAAAATTCCAGAAAATGATATCATGGATTAGAAGCTTCTGATTGACATCATTTGAGTCAATTGGAGGTGTACCTGTGGATGTATTTCAAGGCCTACCTTCAAACTCAGTGCTTCTTTGCTTGACATCATGGGAAAATCAAAAGAAATCAGCCAAGACCTCAGAAAATAAATTGTAGACCTCCACAAGTCTGGTTCATCCTTGGGAGCAATTTCCAAATGCCTGAAGGTACCACGTTCATCTGTACAAACAAACAATAGTACGCAAGTATAAACACCATGGGACCATGCAGCCGTCATACCACTCAGGAAGGAGACGCGTTCTGTCTCCTAGAGATTAATATACTTTGGTGCGAAAAGTGCAAATAAATCCCAGAACAACAGCAAAGGACCTTGTGAAGATGCTGGAGGAAACAGGTACAAAAGTATCTATATCCACAGTAAAACGAGTCCTATATCAACGTAACCTGAAAGGCCGCTCAGCAAGGAAGAAGCCACTGCTCCAAAACCGCCATAAAAAAGACAGACTACGGTTTGCAACTGCACATGGGGACAAAGATCGTACTTTTTGGAGAAATGTCCTCTGGTCTGATGAAACAAAAATAGAACTGTTTGGCCATAATGACCATTGTTATGTTTGGAGGAAAAAGGGGGACACTTGCAAGCCGAAGAACACCATCCCAACCGTGAAGCACGGGGGTGGCAGCATCATGCTGTGGGGGTGCTTTTCTGCAGGAGGGACTGGTGCACTTCACAAAATAGATGGCATTATGAGGAAGGGAAATTATGTGGATATATTGAAGCAACATCTCAAGACATCAGTCAGGAAGTTAAAGCTTGGTGGCAAATGGGTCTTCCAAATGGACAATGACCCCAAGCATACTTCCAAAGTTGTGGCAAAATGGCTTAAGGACAACAAAGTCAAGGTATTGGAGTGGCCATCACAAAGCCCTGACCTCAATCCTATAGAAAATTTGTGGGCAGAAATGAAAAAATGTGTGCGAGCAAGGAGGCCAGCTAACCTGACTCAGTTACACCAGCTCTGTCAGGAGGAATGGGCCAAAATTCACCCAACTTATTGTGGGAAGCTTGTGGAAGGCTACCCGAAACATTTGACCCAAGTTAAACAATTTAAAGGCAATGCTACCAAATACTAATTGAGTGTATGTAAACTTCTGACCCACTGGGAATGTGATGAAATAAATAAGTGGTGATCCTAACTAACCTAAGACAGGGAATTTTTACTATGATTAAATGTCAGGAATTGTGAAAAACTGAGTTTAATGTATTTGGCTAAGGTATATGTAAACTATTGAACAGTGCACATTTTGCCATTGTGAAGTATAATAATAGAATGTAATATATCCTGTAAGATATACAGTAACACACACAGGTACCATTAACTCCTCAGTAGAGTACCTACGTCTTGCAATTCCATTGCTTTTAAGCACCAGTAGGCAGTCCTAGCACCAGACAGCAGACAGTGTTAATGATATACAGGTAAATCGATACCTTCCCCTCATGTATTGCTTTTATATATCCATCATCTTGTATTATTTCATTACAGTAGCCAATAAAATTGTGCCCCTGTTTGGCAATAATGTAAATCCATAAAAATGGGAAAACATAATTGACCATAGACTGAGACAGAGCTTTAGAACGCTAAAGGCTCAGCCATAGGTATGAATCAATTGAGTCATTATTGAGGCCCAGCGCCAAAGAGCTGCCGCTGTAAAATGTGAGACAATGTATTTCTTATGAAAAGTTCATCCACAAAGATAAAATAAAGCTACGCCTGCTGGGCCTGACTTCACTGAGGCAAGAGCAGTAAAGTAACATATTTATGTACAGGAGACCTACTTCAGAATAAACAGGAGAGGCACAAAGCTATAGCGATAGAGGGTTAATGTAGTATCATTATCCTTGTGCAGTAGGCCAAGGGTGTGTACATAACCTTCCTTTACCCGGGGAAGAGCAGGGAGAGCAGATAGAGAGTGGGTCTGTCCTCTTCCCATGCCATGGTACTGCTGGTTGGACAGGCATGAGACGTGGGCTTGAAAGCCGCCCCCGGTCACGGCCACCACAAGCTAAGTGACCAAGGGCCAAATAACCAATCATGATGCAGGGAGTTGTGAACATATGTGACATGTTCATGAATGAGTTCCAGATAACTTGGCTTGTATGCTCTTTGAATGGCAAGGAGAGGGCGGCGGAGGAAAAATGAGCTGTTTATGCTGTTCAATTGACCTTTATTTCGTTTTAACTAACAGGCGTTAGTCATTGTTTGTTGCTCTGTAAAGGTTCAGGGCTTTCTGCTGGAGTGTTCACTTCTTCCCCTGTGGTGCCAGGATGTTCACTACTAAAGGTTATTCCCTCGGTGTGAAAGCAATCAAATCAAATCAAATTGTATTTGTCACGTGCCGAAAACAACAGGTGTAGACCTTACAGTGAAATTCTTACTTACAAGCCCTTAACCAACAATGCAGTTTTAAGAAAGAATAGCCCAAAAATATAAATAAATAAAAATAACACAAAAAAATAGTCTGGGTAGCCATTTGATTAGATGTTCAGGAGTCTTATGGCTTGGGGGTAGAAGCTGTTTAGAAGACTCTTGGACCTAGACATGGCCCTCCAGTACCGCTTCCCGTGTGGTAGCAGAAATAACAGTCTATGACTAGGGTGGCTGGAGTCTTTGACCATTTTTAGGGCCTTCCTCTGACACCGCCTGGTATAGAGGTCCTGGATGGTAGGAAGCTTGGCCCCAGTGATGTACTGGGCCGTACGCACTACCCTCTGTAGTGCCCTGCGGTCGGAGGCCGAGTAGTTGCCATACCAGGTAGTGATGCAACCAGTCTAGATGCTCTCCATGGTGCAGCTGTAGAACCTTTTGAGGATCTGAGGACCCATGCCAAATCTTTTCAGTCTCCTGAGGGGGAATAGGTTTTGTTGTGCCCTCTTCACGACTGTCTTGGTGTTTTTGGACCATGTTAGTTTGTTGGTGATGTGGACACCAAGGAACTTGAAGCTCTCAACCTGCTCCACTACAGCCCCATCGATGAGAATGGGGGCATGCTCGGTCCTCTTCTTTTTCCTGTAGTCCACAATCATCTCCTTTGTCTTGATCACGTTGTGGGAGAGGTTGATGTCCTGGCACCACATGGCCAGGTCTCTGACCTCCTCCCTATAGGCTGTCTCGTCGTTGTCGGTGATCAGGCCTACCACTGTTGAGTCATCGGCAAACTTAATGATGGTGTTGGAGTCGTGCCTGGCCATGCAGTCATGAGTGAACAGGGAGTACAGGAGGGGACTGAGCACGCACCCCTGAGGGGCCCCCGTGTTGAGGATCAGCGTGGCGGATGTGTTGTTACCTACCCTTACCACCTGGGGACGGCCACACAGTGTGACTGGTTACAGTGGCTATACTTATCCCGTTGAGAATGTGCTGTGTGTGCTTCTTCCACTCACTTACGCCCCAACACACAAAAAAAAAAAAAAAAAAAAAAAAAAACATATTGTAAAGTGGTTATCCCACTGGCTATAGGGTGAATGCACCTATTTGTAAGTCGCTCTGGATAAGAGCGTCTGCTAAATGACGTAAATGTAAATGTTAACCTCTTCACCCTTTATAAACACATCATATGGAGTTATTAGGGGAACATAGACTGTTCTTATTAAAATGTTGATTTGACATTTTAGTCATTGAGTAGATGCTCTTATCCATAGCGACTTACATTAGTGCATTCATCTTAAGATAGCTAGGTGAGACAACAACATATCACAATCGTAGAAAATACATTTTCCCTCAACAAAGTAGTTATCAGCAAAGTCAGAATTATGATTACAGTGAAGTTATGGAGATGGCTTGGAAACTTCAGTACTTCAATACTTGGTGCCTAACTAGCCACTGATGGACAACAAAGTGAACATAAGTGAATGATTCTACCAAGGAAAAGAGTAAGTCAACAATGGTATCATACTGCACTGTATCATAAAACAAGTCCCACTTCCTGTCTTCCCTGTAGGCGAGGAGGCGTTGACCATGTACATGGCCAAGAACAAGCTGGACCGAAAGCTGGTCAACGCCACTCAGAATGTGGAGGCCCTGCACCAGCTGGCGTCCTCATACTTCATCGACCGAGATGGCACCATGCGAAAACTCCACGAGATCCAGATCTCCACCAATGCCATCAAGGTATGCCATCTATACACATAAATATGCAATATTTAAATATGTTCAAATGTTTCCCACAGGAGTTGGATATAAAAGGAATGCATTTAAGAATTAGGGTAATATCAGCAACAACATTCTGCTGCTCCCACAAGTGATCTTTAACAAGGTTTTTTTAACAACATGATCTTATTCAGGTACACACACACCTCTAGCCTCCTCCAGCCTCCTCTAGCCTTATCCAGCCTCCTCCAGCCCCCTCCTAGCCCCCTGGAGAGAGTGTCTTGTCATATTTTTGTTGTCCTAAGTGACAGGCAGATGAAGAGGTTCTGGCAGAGAGGACTCTGGATAGCAGGAAGTCAAGCATGACAAAAGTAAACAGAATTGACAATGGCTGCTGAGTCAGGGCCGGGCGAGGAGTCGATGAGGGAAGAAGCACACACAGCACATTTTCAATGGGATAAGTATAGCCACTAACCAGTCACACTGTGTGGAGCCAGAGAAGTCCTGACTGTCTTCTTGACTGACAAACCTGCTCTTAGTGTTACCGATGTTGAATAGTTGGACTGTGTATGTGGGAGATATTTGAGTATTAGGAAGTGTATGTGTGTGTGTGTGTGTGTGTGTGTGTTTGTGTGCGTGTGTGTTTGTGCGTGCGTGTGTGTGTGTGCATGCGTGTGTGTGCGTGCGTGTGTGCGTGTGCTTGTGTGCGTGCGTCTGATTGTGTCAGTCCTCAATTATCACCCATGTTATCAGAATTATATAGAATTATAAGAATGTGCCTACTCAAAGCCAAGTATTGTTTTACACTGAGTAAATGATTAATCATTTAATCTGTCTCACACTACAGTTACATTCAACTGAAAGGTTTGGACACACCTACTCATTCAAGGGTTTTTCTTTATTTTTACTATTTTTGTATTGTAGAATAATAGTGAAGACATCAAAACTATGAAATAACACATATGTAATCATGTAGTAACCAAAAAAGTGTTAAACATATCAAAATATATTTGATATTTGAGATTCTTCAAATAGTCACCCATTGCCTTGATGACAGCTTTAAACACTCTTGGCATTCTCTCAACCAGCTTCATGAGGTAGTCACCTGGAATGCATTTCAATTAACAGTTGTGCCTTCTTAAAAGTTAATTTGTGGGATTAATTTCCTTCTTAGTGCGTTTGAGCCAATCAGTTGTGTTGTGACAAGGTAGTGGGGGTATACAGAAGATAGCCCTATTTGGTAAAAGACCAAGTCCATATTATGAAAAAAAAAACTGCTTAAATTAGCAAAGAGAAACGACAGTCCATCATTACTTTAAGACATGAAGGTCAGTCAATCCGGAACATTTCAAGAACTCTGAAAGTGTCTTCAAGTGCAGTCGCAAAAACCATCAAGCGCTATGAGGAACTGGCTCTCTTGAGAACCACCACAGGAATGGAAGGCCCAGAGTTAGCTCTGCTGCAGAGGATAAGTTCATTAGAGTTACCAGCCTCAGAAATTGCAGGCCAAATAAATGCTTTACAGAGTTCAAGTAACAGACACATCTCGACATCAACTGTTCAGAGGGGACTGTGTGAATCAGGCCTTCATGGTCGAATTGCTGCAAAGAAACCACTTCTAAAGGACACCAATAAGAAGAAGAGACCTGCTTGGGACAAGAAACACGAGCAATGGACATTAGACCGGTGGAAATTTGTCCTTTAGTGTGGAGTCCAAATTTGAGATTTTTGGTTCAAACCGCTGTGTCTTTGTGAGATGCGGTGTGGGTGAATGGATGATCTCTGCATGTGTAGTTCCCACCATAAAGCATGGAGGAGGAGGTGTTATTGTGTGTGGGTGCTTTGCTGGTGACACTGTCTGTGATGTATTTCGAATTCAAGGCACACGTAACCAGCATGGCTATCACAGCATTCTGCAGCGATATACCATCTCATCTGGTTTGGGCTTAGTGGGACTATCATTTGTTTTTCAACAGGACAATGACCCAACACACCTCCAGGCTGTGTAAGGGCTATTTGTCCAAGAAGGAGAGTGATGGAGTGCTGCATCAGATGACCTGGCTTCCACAATCCCCCGACCTCAACCAAATTGAGATGGTTTGGGATGAGTTGGAATGCAGAGTGAAGGAAAAGCAGCCAACAAGTGCTCAGCATATGTGGAAACTCCTTCAAGACTGTTGGAAAAGCATTCCAGGTGAAGCTGGTTGAGAGAATGCCAAGAATGTGCAAAGCTGTCATCAAGGCAAAGGGTGGCTATTTGAAGAATCTCAAATATAAAATGTATTTTGATTTGTTTAACACTTTTTTGGTTACTACATGATTCCATATGTGTTATTTCATAGTTGTGATGTCTTCACTATTATTCTACAATGTAGAAAATAGTAAAAATAAAGAAAAACCCTTGAATGAGTAGGTTTGTCCAAACCTTTGACTGGTTCTGTATATCATGATTGGACTGTCTCAACTGAGGGCAAATATAGCTCATTATAGTGAGGCAGAAAAGTTATCAAATCAAGAAACACTTTTATCACATTAATTTCATCCAATATAATCCAATATGTTGATATTATTTTCAATTTAAGTGGAAGGAATAATTAGTCCTTCAGGCGTTTGATAAGAAACACTCCATATTATATACCTAAAATAAACCACACAAAGGCAGTTGAAAATAACAAAAATAGTATATTACAAGAAAGAGAAAAACAGATAGAGTTTAGGAGGACAACAGTATAACAGAAATCAATTTGCATTGATTCCCAAAAGTAAACCAGAACAAAATAAAATAAAAATAAGTTTTAACAAAACAATAAAATATGTATTTGAGTCCACTGCCCACACAAATTAAGGCTGATACACAGAATATTGAAACTGTTATGCTTTGTCAGAAATACTATCATCCAAAATCAGTTGTGGGTCTATCTATCCCACTATAAATAGGAGGTAATGGCAGAAGTAAATTTAGCCGCTGATCCTGCAGTCGCGTAGCAGACAGACAACGATCTGTAGGTGGAGAGGAAGCTGAGTCTGACGCACAGCCTGGATCTATAAACACAGAGAACAAGGCCCTGCACTTCCAATATTGATTTAATATGGCTGTGAGTCCAACTTCACAGTGAGATGCTGTGGCCTATGGTGAAAACACAGGCACAAAGACATCAATAGAGACCAAAACTAAGATGTTTCCTGTCTGGTGAGCAAGCACATTTACTGTGTAGTACTGCAGTGATGAGTTTGGTTGCAATGGCATTTTACTTGGTGGTTTTCTTACAGTAATGCAATGTGAGTTTTAAGTCCTGGAAGTTGCTATTGTAAGTTGTGGTTTTTAATTTCCCTTTCATAATATTTCATATCCTCATCATATCATGTTATCACGCACACACACACACACTCAAGTGCACAAAAAAAACGCACACACAATACTAAATGACATAAATGTAAATGTTGTCATATGTCTAGAGTAAGCCCTAATCTTTCTAGCCTGTACACTCTTTTCTCCTGATACCTCTTGCTGGAGGGGGGACGTGCCCCAGACACTTCAATAGGTTTTGGTGAGGCAGAAGCAGAAAAATGAAGAGCAGGATAATGTGTGTGGATGTGTTTGTGTGTGTGTGTGTGTGTGTGTGCGTGTGTGTCTGCGTGTGTGTGTGTTTGTGCGCGTGTGTTTATATGTGTACAGGCATTAGTGTGTGCTGGGATGGCCTGAGAGCATCCACTGATCTGCCAAGCCTGGCTATATTTATCAAGTCCTCATCCCTGGCCCGTCCCCCCCGTCTCCCCAAGCCTTAGCACTGCTTAAGAGGTTCCAGCAACATGCCAACGTTAATCAAAACGAAGATGTATTTCCACTGCCCTGGTGATGCCCAGGGCAAGCCGTGGACTTGTTATTTTTCTAAGACACCACACAGGAATTTATCTGCCCAAACCAATTGATTTTTGTAGCCTGGAAGCCTCAACCATCACCTCCTTTCCTTTTGGCTTTAAAAAGTTCACAGCCCTATGGGTGGCTTAATAGCAGAATTTCAAACAAACAAGGTTTTTGGGCCAAAGTGTCTCTGTAACTAGCAGTTTCTTGTTGGGGCTGTGAAGTCGTGAAGTGCAATGTGTGTGTAATGAAATGCGTGTATATGCTGAGACATCTTTCTCTTGATTAAGTGTAGAGTTCTCATTCTCAGCCCGAACCCTATGGGCCGGGCCCAGTTTCCCTCTCTCCGCGCTTTTCTAAGACAAGGGCTGTTTCCTCGTCTCCTCACTCCGCTACCGCATTGTTCTCAACACCAGTTTAAATCAATATACTGTTTTCGGGGGGGGGGGGGGGGGGGGTTTCGGGTTCAGGCTCATTACATTTCTGTGATGTTGGACCGGGCCTGGGTTCGGGCTTCAGCTCACCGAGCTTGGGTAAGACCGGGCTCTAATTTTGAGGCCCGATGAGAACTCTAATTCAGTGGCCCTGAAGAGAACAGGGAGCTCAGTAATGTTGCACATCAGCTTTTAAATGGAATTCAACTAAGGGGAAAGGGAACACACACACACACAGCTGCCACAGGCAGGCTGACCTGAGGTTACTGAGTGATGAGATCATATGGGGGGATTCCCACTGTACTTCATTTGTCTCCTCGAATGTAGAACACTTCTTCACTTCCTACACATTGAAGCTTTATTCTATCGCTTTTGCAATTAAATATACACAGCAATATCCATCCATCCATATTTCTGTCCCTCTGTTCATCAGACTACAGTATTTGTCTATTGGTCAACCCGTCCATTACACCCACCATTCACTCAGCCAACTACCTTTCATTGTGTTTGGTAGTCTGGCTACCCATTCGTTTGGCTTTCCATCCACCCATGCCTCAGCAGGGCAAACAAACAAATAATTGGGACACAGCATATTGGCTAAACCTGTAGCATAGCCCAAATCAGCCATGTACAGTAGCCCACCAAGTGAGAAAAAGAACAACACAGCACATAGAAGAACATGTGTCAAACTGTGCATGACACTAACACCTTGCTGTGATAAATGAAAAGGAAGAGATGTGTGCTTCTGGGTAGCACAGGGATGGGCAACTGGCTGCCCTATTAAATAAAATGAAAAATTAAAATGTATACAGTTTGGACACACCTACTCATTCAAGGTTTTTTCTTATTTTTGCTATTTTCTACATTGTAGAATAATAGTGAAGACTTCAAAACTATGAAATAACACATCTGGAATCATGTACTGACTAAAAAAGTATATTTAACATTTGACATTCTTCAAATAGAGTGTGCAAAGCTGTCATCAAGGCAAAGGGTGGCTATTTGAAGAATCTCAAATATTTATTTTGATTTGTTTAACACTTTTTTGGTTACTACATGATTCCATATGTGTTATTTCATAGTTTTGATGTCTTCACTATTATTCTACATTGTACAAAATAGTAAAAATAAAGAAAACCCTGCGAATGAGTAGGTGTGGTCAAACTTTTGACTGGTGGTGTATATCTCTTTATTTTTTAGGAACTCAGTCGGTGTCTCAACTAACTGTTGAGAATTAGAATAGTATAATACACAAGGTGCAATTTCTAAATGTGGTTGTGCATCAGAAGTTTTTCTCTTGTTATCTTAGTCACTCACAATCACTCAATTAGCCCATGTCAGCTAAATATTTTTAGATTGGTAAGTTAGTCTAGCGAGCTATCTGAACTTGTATTAATCATGAATTACCAACTGGGGGAACCCCACTGATTTTGTTAGTCACTCTCACTCAGATATCGTTTTGAAAACTGCAAAAAAAATCTCCACCCTCTGGCAAAATGAGTAGAATTGCAGGAAATGGAGCTGTAAAACTGCAAATTTTTCTCTCCGCCCCATGGCAAAATGAGTCGAATTTGCATGAAATTAATTATAAAATAGCAACATTTTCTTTCCGCTCCATGAGAAAATGTGTAGAATTGCAGCAAACTTGCTTTAAAATTGCAACATTTGTGTAGAATTGCAGTAATTTAACTCTAAAACGTACAAATGTTTCTCTCCGCTGTCAAAAGGGTGGTCGCTAAAATGCTTTGCCCCCAAAAGGCTTGGGCCGACTCTGACTGCATGTGTGGGTATGGATGTGGGGACACAGACCCCCGAGCCACTGTGGTCCCTTATGATTCAGATGCCCGCATCCCTGGTGTAGCAGGACCCAAAAGCTACCTACGTGGTAGCACTCCTGGGGAGGAGATAATTTACGAAGGAAAATAAGATTCCCAGTAAAACATTTTAATGAAAGAATGCAATTTTACGAGCAGGCTGTTTTTCTGTGACAAAGCTCCAGGATGATTATGCAGGGGTGGGGAGGAATATGGTTGCTGCTGTGTAACGTTGGCTAGTGTTTCCACAAGGTCACTTCCCTGAAGTGTCACTCTGCTGGCCTGATTTACACCAGGATTCAATATGCAGATTTACTGATGATGCAGCAGGATCCTGTTTCTCATTTCTGATTGCCACCTCTGTGGTCCACAGTCCTCTGGAGTAGAGTGGAGCAAAATGAGTCTGAGGTGTTAAAATTAACAGGCCCTGTTATTTAACCCAGATTTTGTGTGAATTTAACTAGGCTTTGATTGGTTGGTTGAGGAGGGTGTGGCATTTGAATTTTGAAGCAGCCTTATTATAATTCAATCTTAGAACTCAGTTTTAGCACTACCAATTGTACCAATTGTTACCTTTCCATGTAGGCTCCGAACAAAATTAAAACCCCTCACATTTCATGAGTTGTGCGGTTAGGCCATGTGACACAGTGAAGTTACCTCTTATTAAATTCCATGGAATCACCTTACATTCCAAAAGCAAACTTCCTCTGAGATGTGTCCAGCCACAGAGAGTTACTGGGGAGCATGTCCCTTCATTTCCCTGTTTCCAGAAATAGAAAGTCATTAGGCGAGTGGCAGGTGATGGGCAGATTAAGAAAGCTCTGCAGTGGCAGAAGTCCCCTGATGAAGACACTCCATCATACTGGATGTATCCCTCCCTCAAGCCCCAATCTATTCCCTCCATCCCTCTCTCCCTCCTTCTCCCAGGCTACCATCATTTTAATCCTGTCTTCAGTCGCCAGAGTTGTGCGATAGCAAATATGGCTAAAATGGATAAAGGACAGAGCTAGGGGATGTCTTAAGGACTTTGAGAATAAATTATGCTCATAACTGTGCCTTGATTCTCTTGCTGTAGCTATACCACAAATGCCTGTGTTGTCAGTAGTAATACTCCTCACCTCTGCACTGCAGCAACTGATGTGTAGATGTGCAGCACAAAATGGCTGCCATGCGTGCTATAGGTGGGCTCATTGTTGGTGAAAGAGGCAAGTTACTTCCTCTTGACATTAGAAACACATTGTGACCTGGTAATATACAGTACATGAACATTCATGTAATTTTACATTTACATTTTATTCATTTAGCAGACACTCTTATCCGGAGCAACTTACAGGAGCAATTAGGGTTAAGTGCCTTGCTCAAGGACACATCGACAGATTTTTCACCTAGTCAGCTCAGGGATTCGAAACAGCAAGCTTTCGGTCCTGGCCCCAACGCCCTTAACCACTAGTACTTAATTACATATTTCTCCTAAATAAATATAGAGGGAGGAAGAGGGAATGATTGGTTGATTATGATTTATATTGCCAAAGACTTCAGCCACCCAAGCCATAGACAGTTACTCTGCTACCATCTGACAAACGGTACCAGAGAATCAGCTCTCGGACCAACAGGCTCCGAGACAGCTTCTACCCTCAAGCCATAAGACTTCTAAATAGCCATAAGGCTGCTAAATAGCCATAAGACTGCTAAATAGCTAAATGGTTAAACAGACTATTTGCATTGACCCTATCTTGCACTGACTCTATGCACACTCACAAGCCTATATATATGCACTATAAACACACCAGAGGAGGCTGGTGGGAGGAGCTATAGGAGGATGGGCTCATTGTAATGGCTGGAATGGAGTTAATGGAACGGAGTCAAACGTGGCTTCCATGTGTTTGATGTGTTTGATACCATTAATTCCATCACAGCCATTACAGTGAGCCTGTCCTCCTATTAGCTCTTCCCACCAGCCTCCTCTGATACACACTCATACACACTACATTGACACTCTCACACATATGCATACCAATACAACACACACACACACACACACACACACACACACACACACACGCACACACACATACACACACATACACAAACACATTTTCACACTCATACATACTGTATATACATGAAGTCAGGGTAAAGGGACTAGACAGAGTAGCAGCAGCATATGACGAGTGTGAAAATGTGTTTGTATGTGTGTGTATATGTGTGTGTGCCTGTGTGTGTGTGTGTTTGTGTATGTGTTGTATCGGTATGTACATACACTTAGGTTGGAGTCATTAAAACTCATTTTTCAACCACTCCATACATTTCTTGTTAACAAACTATAGTTTTGGCAAGTCGGTTAGGACATCTACTTTGTGCATGACACAAGTCTGTGTATATTTGTAAACAACAGCTGGTGCACAAAATCAAATACTAAGGAAGTCTCTAGGTTTTGCTCGCCTGAGGTAGAGTATCTTATGATAAGCTGTAGACCACACTATTTACCAAGAGAGTTTTCATCTATATTTTTCATAGCTGTCTATTTACCACCACAAACCAATGCTGGCATTAAGATTGCACTGAATGAGTTGTACAAGGCCATTAATCAACAGGAGAACGCTCATCCAGATGCAGCGCTCCTAGTGGCCGGGGACTTTAATGCAGGGAAACTTAAATCCGTTCTACCTCATTTCTACCAGCATGTTAAATGTGCAACCAGAGGGGAAAAAACTCTAGACCACCTTTACTCCACACACAAAGACGCATACAAAGCTCTCCCTCGCCCTCCATTTGGCAAATCTGACCATAACTCTATCCTCCTGATTCCTGCTTATAAGCAAAAACTGAAGCAGGAAGCACCAGTGATTCGGCTGATAAAAAAGTGGTCAGATGACGCAGATGCTAAGCTACAGGACTGTTTTGCTAGCACAGACTGGAACATGTTCCGGGATTCTTCAGACAGCATTGAGGAGTACACCACATCAGTCACTGGCTTCATCAATAAGTGCATCGATGATGTCGTCCCCACAGTGACCGTACGTACATACCCCAACCAGAAGCCATGGATTACAGGAAACATCCGCACTGAGCTAAAGGGTAGAGCTGCCGCTTTCAAGGAACGGGACTCTAACCCGGACGCTTATAAGAAATCCCGCTATGACCTCCGACGAACCATCAAACAGGCAAAGAGTCAATACAGGTCTAAGATTGAATCATACTACACTGGCTCTGACGCTCGTCGGATGTGGCAGGGCTTGAAAACTATTACAGACTACAAAGGGAAGCACAGCCGCGAGCTGCCCAGTGACACAAGCCTACCAGACGAGCTAAACCACTTCTATGCTCGCTTCGAGGCAAGCAACACTGAAGCATGCACGAGAGCACCAGCTGTTCCGGACGACTATGTGATCACGCTCTCCGTAGCCGATGTGAGTAAGACTTTTAAGCAGGTCAACATTCACAAGGCCGCAGGGCCAGACGGATTACCAGGACGTGTACTCCGAGCATGTGCTGACCAACTGGCAAGTGTCTTCACTGACATTTTCAACATGTCCCTGACTGAGTCTGTAATACCAACATGTTTCAAGCAGACCACCATAGTCCCCGTGCCCAAGAACTCTAAGACAACCTGCCTAAATGACTACCGACCCGTAGCACTGACGTCTGTAGCCATGAAGTGTTTTGAAAGACTGGTCATGGCTCACATCAACAGCATAATCCCAGAAACCCTAGACCCACTCCAATTTGCATACCGCCCCAACAGATCCACAGATGATGCAATCTCTATCGCACTCCACACTGCCCTTTCCCACCTGGACAAGAGGAACACCTACGTGAGAATGCTATTCATTGACTACAGCTCAGCATTCAACACCATAGTGCCCTCTAAGCTCATCACTAAGCTAAGGATCCTGGGACTAAACACCTCCCTCTGCAACTGGATCCTGGACTTCCTGACGGGCCGCCCCCAGGTGGTAAGGGTAGGTAACAACACATCTGCCACACTGATCCTCAACACGGGGGCCCCTCAGGGGTGCGTGCTCAGTCCCCTCCTGTACTCTCTGTTCACCCATGACTGCATGGCCAGGCACGACTCCAACATCATCATTAAGTTTGCCGACGACACAACAGTGGTAGGCCTGATCACCGACAACGATGAGACAGCCTATAGGGAGGAGGTCAGAGATCTGGCCGTGTGGTGCCAGGACAACAACCTCTCCCTCAACGTGACCAAGACAAAGGAGATGATTGTGGACTACAGGAAAAAAAAGAGGACTGAGCACGCCCCCATTCTCATCGACGGGGCTGAAGTGGAACAGGTTGAGAGCTTCAAGTTCCTTGGTGTCCACATCACCAACGAACTATCATGGTCCAAACACACCAAGACAGTCGTGAAGAGGGCACGACAAAGCCTATTCCCCCTCAGGAGACTAAAAAGATTTGGCATGGGTCCTCAGATCCTCAAAAAATTCTACAGCTGCACCATCGAGAGCATCCTGACTGGTTGCATCACCGCCTGGTATGGCAACTGCTTGGCCTCTGACCGCAAGGCACTACAGAGGGTAGTGCGTACGGCCCAGTACATCACTGGGGCAAAGCTCCCTGCCATCCAGGACCTCTATACCAGGCGGTGTCAGAGGAAGGCCCTCAAAATTGTCAAAGACTCCAGCCACCCTAGTCATAGACTGTTCTCTCTGCTACCGCACGGCAAGCGGTACCGGAGTGCCAAGTCTAGGTCCAAAAGACTTCTCAACAGCTTCTACCCCCAAGCCATAAGACTCCTGAACAGCTAATCATGGCTACCCAGACTATTTGCACTGCCCCCCCACCCCATCCTTTTTACGCTGCTGCTACTCTGTTAAGTATTTATGCATAGTCACTTTAACTCTACCCACATGTACATATTACCTCAACTACCTCAACTAGCCGGTGCCCCCGCACATTGACCATGCAACGGTACCCCCCTGTATATATAGCCTCCCTACTGTCACTTTATTTTACTGTATATATAGCCTCCCTACTGTCACTTTATTTTACTTCTGCTCTTTTTTTCTCAACACTTTTTTGTTGTTGTTTTATTCTTACTTGTTTGTTTAAAATAAATGCACTGTTGGTTAAGGGCTGTAAGTAAGCATTTCACTGTAATGTCTGCACCTGTTGTATTCGGCGCATGTGACCAATAAAATTTGATTTGATTTGAAAACTCATTTTTCAACCACTCCATACATTTCTTGTTAACAAACTATAGTTTTGGCAAGTCGGTTAGGACATCTACTTTGTGCATGACACAAGTAATTTTTCCAACAATTGTTTACAGACAGACTATTTCACTTATAATTCACTGTATCACAATTTCAGTGGGTCAGAAGTTTACATACACTAAGTTGACTGTGCCTTTAAACAGCTTGGAAAATTCCAGAAAATTATGTCATGGCTTTAGAAGCTTCTGATAGGCTAATTGACATAATTTGAGTCAATTGGAGGTGTACCTGTGGATGTATTTCAAGGCCTACCTTCAAACTCAGTGCTTCTTTGCTTGACATCATGGAAAAATCAAAAGAAATCAGCCAAGACCTCAGAAAAAAAAACTGTAGACCTCCACAAGTCTGGTTCATCCTTGGGAGCAATTTCCAAACGCCTGAAGGTACCACGTTCATCTGTACAAACAATAGTACGCAATTATAAACACCATGGGACCACGCAGCCGTCATACCGCTCAGGAAGGAGACGCGTTCTGTCTCCTAGAGATGAACGTACTTTGGTACAAAACGTACAAAACCGCCATAGAAAAGCCAGACTACGGTTTGCAACTGCACATGGGGACAAAGATCGTACTTCTTGGAGAAATGTCCTCTGGTCTGATGAAACAAAAATATAACTGTTTGGCCATAATGACCATCGTTATGTTTGGAGGAAAAAGGGGGTCGCTTGCAAGCCGAAAAACACCATCCCAACCGTTATGCACGGGGGTGGCAGCATCATGCTGTGGGGGT